TTATATAGTTTTAAAATTTTTTAAAATATTAAGTTAAATACTTAGATCCTTAATGCTTTATTAGTACTAAACATAATACTTAATACAGACTAAGCTATATATATTATATTTATATTATAAGAGTATAACTAGTTATATATACAACTTTTAGTTGCTTATTTAAGTAGTTTGCTCTAAGGCAGTATTGTATATAGAATATGTTCATACTATATAAAATGTCCAATGTTCAAAATTGTCTAAAATTGTTCAAGCCTATGTTCTAAGTTTAAATAATCAATAAGTAATTTAAAAAACTATATAATTATATATTTTTTTAGGTGCTAGATTTATTTATAAAAAAAAACTAAAATAGATTATTTTAATAAAAGTTTAAGTAATTTTAATTTGAAAAAATGTTTAAAATTGTCTAAAATTATATATTTCATATACAACACTAAGGTTTTACACTAGTAGCTATATCTATAATCTACTAGAAAATTATCTATTTAAATTTTTTGACCCTATATCTGTACTATAATATTTATATCTAATTCTTTTATTTTGAAATCTGAAACTTTAGCCTCTAATACCTAATCTTTTCTCTAGAACTGAAAAGATATTTATTTTTGTATTAAACTTACTAGAATAGTATATACCTTATATATACTTACCCAAACTTTTGATAACTTATGCTATAGTTTTACCCATATATATATTTGAAAGTTATTTACTTCTACAGTTATTTACTATTGCTTTTGTAAAATTTGGTATTTAGATTCCAGTATCTACTTCTAGTTTCTTTTATATCTTGTACAGTATTCTTAGTTTTTTTTTAATTTTCTAATTTAGTTAGCTAGGCAGGATTGATTTTTTCAAACTTTAGACACCTTCTAGATCTTTTTCTTTTAGTATATACTTTTAAAGCATATATTTTTTTTTCTAATATAACTTTGGTAATTAGATTAATATATTCTTCTATTATAAAATCATATTGACCAATTTTACTAATTTGTTGGTTTAATTCAGATCTGTTCTGTAATATTATTAAAGATTCTTACTATTTCTTTGCTTAGATTTTGCCAAGCTAGCTTCAGATCTTTAAGTTCTTTCTGTTAGTCTTATATAATTTTGGTAGTTATATTGTGGGTTTGTATTATTTAAACTAATTTGTATTTTTTTGTATAATATAGATATTTTTAGAATTTTTTAATATACAAAATATATTAGTATAATCAAAATTACAAGTAATAGAACTCAACTTAGAGATTGGGATCCCACAGCCTAGTGGTCTAGACACCCAACCCTCTATTAACAGGTTTTGAGTTCAAGTTCTAGTACATGTAGATTCTATAAATATTTGAATATACTTACTGTAGAAAGTTCAAGTGAATACAAGTCTGAATTAGGAATTTTCAGAAAAAGGTTCATTGTAAAAAAGTTAACACTACATGTAACTATAGTTGTTATAAAAGATTCTATTATACAAAAGTTGTACATATAAATTTTCAATTGGTATAAGTAGTATTAACAACCCTAAGGTGGTATTGGAATCTTGTTTGGGAAAATGAACGAGTAGTAACTAGAATTGGATTAGTGAGAAAAGTAGTAAACACAAAGAAATCTGTAATAAAGAATTGGCCTTATCAGATTTGAAATATCTTTGGTGCTATGTAGAATTACTTACCAAAAAGAGTTTAAAGTATAGAGATGTATACATGTTAAAACCTAATGAAGCTCTGAGCATACTCACATGAGAGTCTTCAGACATTATAAGGACCTAGAACCACCAAAACTAGTATAGCTAGTACAAGTGTATGCAGTGTGTAACCAAAGGCTACAACTGCCGAGAATTACTATAAAAAGAAATAATAACACACCTGTTATAAACCCCTAAGCCTTATGATACCATCTAACTATAAAAGGCTTTAGAAGTGCAGAATAACTTGTTATAAAACATGTCTAAACATCTTACCATTATAGAGAGAAGTACAGCTGTTCATATAATTACTAAATTCAAATATATTAAGATCTAAGTTCTGAAAGTTGCAGGAAAGTTGGTGGTTATGGCAGCATGCAGGCTTAAAATACTTACCCAATATAGTAGAGGCAGCTACATAGCTTGAGATATGAACCTTAACAAGTATACCAAGTAGATATACAAACTGGACACACCAAATTAAAAGCAGAAAGCACCTACCTAAAGTATTAATACACCAATTTGAGAGTTAAGATAGTAAATAAAGTGGGTGAAGCAAAGAACATATAGAAGTTAATTGAAGGCAGGTAAGAATATACAAAATTCAAATCAATTACATATATAAGAATATTGATGATTTTGGTAAGTTTTAGTCATGAATAAATAGTTTGTATACCTAAAGTTCTAGTTTTAATACTAATATGTAATATGTATATATTTATAGCACTGCTATATATTAATTCATTTAAGTATTAATAAAAGTTTGGAGCAGGTGCTACACCTAAGGTATTTTTCTAAATATTAAAAAAAATAAAATAAAAAATAACTCAACTTATTGATGAAGATCTGTTACTATAATACAAGTATTTGTGTCCAAACTATTGTTAGTAGGATTTGAACTTGGTATTATAGTTAAGCTAGCTTGAGGGTGCAACAACTTTGCTACTACTTTAAGTTACTACACTTTATATAGTTTTGAAATTAAATATTACTAAAATTAAATATTATCAAATTTTATATAATATCTAAAAATATAGTAAGTATCTTTATATATAATTATATTTGCTAGTTGTATTTTTGTTGTAACTATAATAGCAAATAATTACTAATAAAAAGTTTTCCATAGCTAAAGAAGTTATCTTAATATCAAAAAAAAAAATAAAATAAAAAATATATATATATATATATATAATCATATTTAATTTTTTACTAAGCAAGCCTACTTTTGTTTCTAAGTTATTCTTCAAGTTAAGATAATTCTAATAGCAGTAAAATATCAAAATTGGTTTTTTAAAATTTAAACAACTTTTATTACAAGTATGCAGATTATAAAAAGCAACTATAATCAAATATTATTTAAATTTTAATTTGAAAAATAGCTTTATTTAAAAATAAAAAATTGCTTAATACAAAAATTACTATAAATATATTTATTTTTAAAATTACAGTATATCTAAAAATAAGTATCTTCAATTATAAGTTAAAACTCTTTTTAATGATTTCTTATACCAAAAATACAACAAATCTTTTTTTTAAAAAAACAATAACCTATAGTAAAAAATAAAGTATAAGACTAATTAAAATTATAAACTAGTACCTATTATTTATAGTTCTTATATGCTATCTGCTAACAGGCTTAAAGCTTATTACTTATTATAAAAATGACATTTGTTATTTAAAAGTAGTTCTTATATAGTATGCTACTTGTTAACAAGTTTAAGGTTTATTACTTATTAACAAGAAAATTAGCAGTTTATTTAGCTTTATATGTTTTATTTTTTTTGAAAAAAAATATATACACTTTTAAAAAAAATACAAAAGCTATTTTTTATACTATTATCTACTTGCTTATTTTACAAAATTTTTAAAAAAAATAAGCAAAATAGCTTACTCTTGTTAAAAGATTAGTATTGTTTACTTCTTTTAAATTCAGATAAACTAGTAAATTACAGCTATGTATTTTGTTAAATAAATAAATATATTGCTACTTTATATAACTTTTAAGAATCAGAGTTAATATAATAAAAATTTACTAATTCTAAAGTAATATTTATATATAAAAGCATGCTCTAAATAACTTTACTTAGAAAATAAAAGCAAGTTATCTTGATAAAAAAAATAAGCTATATACTAAAGTTAAAAATTCTAATTTTTTTATATATAGTTAAACCTCTCTAAATACAGCACCTTTTTAAATGTATAATATAAACCCAGACCTATAGTAAAACTTATAGATACAGTAAATATATATTTTTTATTTTGTAAATACACTTTAACTATCTGGCTTACTTATAAAAACTCTCTTTATAAATGTATTCATGTAATTACTAGCCAATTAAATTCATTATTTCAAGGCTACTAAAGCTATATTATCATGTACTAACAGTAATATTGTGATTTTATTAGTGTTCTCTAATTGCAGCCCTCTCTAAATGCATATTTTAGAGGTGATTATAGTGATATATATATAAGAAGATTTGATTATATAACTTTTTTTTTTTTATACTTAGATAACTTGTTTTTGTTTTTTAAATAAAGTTGTTTGATATAAAATTATATATATAAAAATTTATTAATTTACACATAGTGTTTATACACAAGTATAAATTATTGAATAACAAATTTTGTGTAATATATCAATCAAAACAACTTTAATAAATATGGCAGATCATAATGAAATCGAATTAAAATGAAACTGGGAACCTTCTTGCTTATCTTTAAAGCTTATAAAACCCACTTATACTCTTTTATTAATAAGACTAACTCTAAACCCTAACTCTAACACTAACCCTAACCCTCAAAAATGCCCCCCAAAAAATTTTAAATTTTCCTAAAAAAATAGAAAAATTTCATTTTAATCCGATTTCATTTTAATCTGCCACAATTATTAATTTCGGAGATCTGTCTTTCCATTTCTTATTTTAAAATGAAGAAAGCATATGATCATATGAATGGGAGCATACTTCTTTACACTGGGTGGTACTCTATAATCGATACTGGTAAATAAATATACATAACAAGAAATTCTAACAGTAATCAAATGTCAGACGAATATAATGATTCTCGCCGTGACTGACGGACGCATAATACCAGTAAATTAATTAGAGAACGGATTTTCCCATTTCTATAATAAATTTTATTACACAAATCCATAGTTTGTGCATAAATTTCTTTTTAAGGTCATCTCTAATTTGAGTAAAATAACTATAGGATTTGATGAATATATTCTTCTCATGAGATTCAAAATATATAAAATGAAGCTAGAATGCAATTTCCTTGTGAATAAAATCATTCACATAAAATATCTTTCTATTCTTAATTCATTATGCGCGCTTTGCACATATTTACATTCGCAATAGCAATTTTTATATCTGTTGATGCATTACCCTATGACAAACCTAATGTGCTTACGATTCCGCTAAAACCGAAATCAATCACTCGTCGCAGGCTTTCCAAACGAGAAATAGCATCCTTACCATTAACTGCAGAACAATCAGATGTTACTTATTTTGGGCAAATTACCTTTGGCACGGGCACCCCACAGAATTTTGATATAATGTTTGATACAGGATCGCCCGAATTATTTGTTATTGGTAAAGATTGTAATCCAGAAGAATGCAGTAATGACCATAAATATGATTCAGCTCTTGATAAATCTTTCAGTCTAATCAAAGAAAATGCTTTCATAATAAAATACGCTGATGGCACAGAAATAAACGGGGATTTAGCCAAGACCACTATTGTAATAGCGGATATGCTGGTAGAACAACAAGAGTTTGGATTGGCTAATAAAGTTTCTGGTGGATTTAATCGCCCATTTTCGGGTATAATGGGGATGCCATTTGGCGAATTGAATAGATACGGACAACCCACAGTAATCGCAAACCTTATAAATAATAATAAACTCGATAATCCACAATTCTCTTTTATGCTTGGGAGAGAAGCAGATAGATCACCAAGCGAATTAACAATCGGTGGGAGTAATCCAGCTAGATACCATGCTGATACACTTACCTTTACACATGTAGTAGATGATAATGACGATTTATGGGAGATTCCTATTGATGACTGCATTGTCGGTGGCCAACAAGTATATTTCGATAGTCAAACTGCAATTATTGATACTGGAACCACACGTATATATATGCCACCTAATGACGCTAAAGAATTTTATCGTGAAATTCGCACTGCTAGAGACAGGGGTGATGGGTTCTACGCAATAGACTGTAAAGCTATAATTGAAGTTAGCCTGGTATTCAGCGGTAAAACTTGGAATATATCACCTAAAGATTTTATAGTTAAAAGAAATGAAAATGTTTGCGTTGGAGCTGTTGCTTACTTCAATGGTAATTATACTATTTCTTAATGTATTTATAATCAAAATTTTTAAAAGGTAATTCTTTTTTCAAAACCCTTCAGGATTGAACAAAAAATGGCTTATTGGCAGTACATTCCTGAAGAACGTATACACCATTTTTGACCTAGGCCATGGTCAAGTTGGATTTGCTGAATTAGCTTAAAATAGTTAGTATAAACCATTATCATAGATCGAAATGAGTTTAGTATTCGTTAACCCCTCTAATCTTTCTTTGTCGACATGTAGCAAATCATTTATATTATATGCACCCTGTGAATCAATATTTGTAAAGAATGCTATGCATTAATCAAAAAAAATTTAGAACTGAAGAAGCGAATTTTTTTATTCATAGAGAAGTTAAATTATTTTTAAAAATTGATGAAGTGTTTATAATTTTTACATGAAGGTGTTAAGAGAATATTTTAATGCAATTATATACTTAAGAAACTATTGTTTAATTTGGTGAATGTCTTTAATTAACCACATTTCACTATTTACTCTTAGCAATAAAAAATTTTTCAAGATATATGGGTCAAGAAACTTTTTCCAGTCTGTGTAATAATACTTTACAAGTGAAAACAAATGTTCTACCCATTAGATATAGGAGAAATAATATTTATACCCATGTACTTCAACTCTTCTGATTTGCATTTTTTCACAACTTGTTTCTTTATAGTTAAGAAACTTTCTTTTATAACTGATTGATTGCTCAATAATAAATGCTTCAAGCTTTTGCTTTTCATCTAATATTAATATTAGAGGTGGGCAAAGTAAGTTACATATTCTTACCTAATATTACTTAATATTAATTAAGTTTTTTGGCATTAAGTAATAATAAGTAATCTTCGATGTAGCAATTATTATTTTTATAATTAATTATTAAACAACGCAAAGGCAAATTATAAAATATTAATTGATTATTAAGCAA